TATTTAGATCAGAGATTTTTACTCGGATTGGTCAAAGAACCTAATTAACGAACCTAAGGATATGCTACAAAGCTAGCGGATTCAATCCGGATTTAATACAGTAGAATCCGGATTGCCTGTCAAAAATAGGATCGAAGCTCTAGCTAATTTACATCTCCCGGACATGTCTTTTGTTCTAGAAGGGAATGGATGTGATTGGCTAATTTACATGAGATGGATTTATTGTTATTACATGCACGGACTTGACTCACTGAGTCCGGACAGAAAGGATCGGAAGCTCTTAACCTAGGTTCGCATAAGGAGAGCTTCTTCTTGCGTTACGAATACAAAGTAAAATTTCCAATTATATTATATAATTGGAATTTGACTTTGTATTCGTAACGCTCTTATGCGAACCTGGGGTTACACTCGACGCACTAAACAAGGTAGGGCAGCTGTTAAAAATCGATAAAATCTCTGATCTATAAATATTATTAATCATCATGTAGATTAGATGTGTCACTGTTACTAATCAGATTATAAATGCTATATAAAAAAAAACAAATAAATAGCTAAAAAAAAAAAAAAAAAAAAAAATGTCATTGAAAAGCCAAATACAAGATGGTGAAAGAGCACGCAATCCCATATTCAACTAATTGCACTAATGGTGTTACAATCAAGTCTAAAATGCAGACAAAATCTAAGGTTCGGTTTGATTCTATTACAGACGCGCTTAAGGATTTTTGTAGGTATTTCTGAATGTCTATAAAAGATAAATACGTGTTTGTTAACTTTTATACCATTATACTATTATGTTGTTTAGCGGAGGGTAAATTTGTGCTGGTTGTTGACAATGAAGATCGTGAAAACGAGGGCGATTTAATAATTGCCGCAGAAAAGGTAACTACTGAAAAAATGGCATTTATGGTCAGATATACAAGGTAAGTAGAATTTTTTTTAGCCTTTTTTTTTTTTTTTTTAATGTTATCTTAATTAAAATCTTTCATAATTAGCGGATTAATCTGTGTACCGACTACTCCAGAACGATTGGATCAGTTACAACTACCTTTGATGGTTCCAAACAATACCGAAAAAATGAAAACCGCGTACACGATATCAGTGGATTATAAATATAGTACGTAGGTTTATTTAAGTTTTCTGGTTGATAGTTAAAATATTTAAAACGCATTTTAATAAGTTTAATTTGTGCAGATACTACGACTGGTATATCAGCACATGATCGTGCATTGACAGCACGTTCACTTGCTAATCCAACCATCACAGCAAGTGATTTTAATAGACCTGGTCATGTATTTCCGTTACGGTATCGTGAAGGCGGAGTTTTAAAAAGAATTGGTCATACGGAGGCTTCAGTAGGTTTGTATAAGATCTATATCAGTGAGAAATTTCTTATCTGTTCTACATGAATTTTGATTAGATTAATTTCATAATTAGATTTATGTAAATTATCGGGCTTGCAACCCGTTGGCGTTATCTGTGAATTGGTAAGAGACGATGGGCAAATGGCACGTCGCGATGATTGTCGTGCATTTGCAGATGAACATAATTTAAAACTTATCACTATCGCTGATCTAGCACAA